CATTAAAGGGTTAACTGAGCAACTAAAAACCACTTGTTCGTGGTGACTCATGTTCTTTCTATCATCCTATGCTTCCTTTCCTCATGCCAGGTTTTACTTTACTTACTGGATGTAAGTATAAAAAGAGAAGAGCCAATAACGCATGAGAATCAAAGTGGTATTTAGTATCTATGAAAACCACTTCGTTTACCTGAAATGTGCCTTTACAACGATTTACTGAATTTTTGTGCTTCCAAATACTACCTGTAATTTCTAGTCTTTGATCTCTTGAAAGGGATATAATGTTAAAGAGAAAAACTGCTATGATTGGAAAGCAATGAGAGAAAGCAATGTCACTATGAAGAATGAACAAATGAGGACCGATTCAGCTAAATCACAGAATGCAATCTGTAGCACCACCATGAAAGGAGAGATTATAGCTAAAATGGGATGGGAAGGGGGTCTCTTAATAGAAAGATGTCCCAACTCTGAATTTTGACTCCATTATAGTGGAGGGCACACTAAGCAAAGAGCCCCTGGGACAGAAGACTAGATTCCTTACATCCTTAAAACGTGGCTGTTCATCCAACCAAGAAGGGAAAAATTATCGTTAAATCTCAGTTTCCTTCATGTTCATCAGTAGCAAATGCTAAATACCAGACTGATTTAACTCAATTTTGACTTTTCGTTTTTAGTCCCCTGGGAACATAGGCAGAAACCTGACCGACTCACACCTCCCTGGCCCTCTCCATCCTTGCTACTGACCCTCAAGAACAGACACTAGCAATTAAAGGAAGCACAAAGCCAAAAGAGGTATCTACATTTTACTAAGCAGGTCAGTCAAGAAATATGATAACAATAAGTAGAAATGAATATATGTATGATATTTTAAAATGGGGCATAAGTAAAAAAAGGTATTAGGTTCTCCCTTTATGCCTACATCATTAGAAAAACCTAAAATACTAAAAGTGACAATAAAAATCCCCATAGACATGCTATCGGTTCCCACAGCAGAAACCTTTCTACCCCATCTGTTACTAGACAGTTTCATTTCAAATAGGCAACTGGAATTTCAGAGGGTTAGCACTAGTGCTCTTTTCCTAAATCTGGGTAATAATTAGCCCGTCTGAAAGTGAACATACAGAACTGAGAAGGAAATAATTCCCCAGCAGGGCTCTGTATATTATTCATGCTCAAAAACTTAAAACAAAATGAAAAGGAAGTACAAAGGGAAAATACAGGAAAGAGAAAAACTATATCAAACCGAAAGGAATAATTCAAGAATCACAACTAAATAATGGAGAAAAGAGGCCCACAGAGTGGAGTAAATCTTATTTTTCTTAGGGTTTGAATTCTGGATTGAAGTATAAATAAGATGGTTTTTCACAGTGAAATGTCACCGAACAAGAGTATGTCCAAGCTGGGATGGCCTCCCCACATGCAAGGCTGACAATGAGTGGTGTCACCGATCGCTCACCCCCCCCGCCAGGCACACCTTCCCGAAGCAGATTCATGCCAGGAGCCCAGCACCGTTAGCATGACTCTGGGTAATATCACAGCCTCTCTCTGGCCACTCTTCGGCTATCCTGGCGCAAAATAATTTATTTGGGCTTTCTTACAATAAGAGGTATAATTAGCAGTCATTTTGTAGAATAAAGTATTGATGCCACAAGCCAATTTTCTGAAAGTGCCTCTACAGCAGGACCTGCACCATTTGTGTTTATAAATCAGGTAATTGTACATCGAGCCACTTCAGTGTGTATATAATTAGTCTAATTTACATATGTAAATCAATCTTATGTACAGTTTGCCAACTTCTTGCTTTCCTTTATTTTCTCCCCCACATTGTAAGTTTAGATAGATCAGATTTCCGAAATACCATTTTAATAAACTACCAGCTTTTTTTTTTTTTTCTCAAGCCATTTAGGGATATTTCTAATTCCTCCATCTGATCATAAAACACAAGGACAAAGTTCAAAGAAGCTGTTAAGTCTCTACTGATTCATTATATCAGGAAGCTGCTTTACTTGTACTGGATGTTCCAAACCCTTTTAATCAATCTTTTCTGCTCTCACAAAAGAACATTTCAGGTGTCTCCAACTCTCACCTAATTTCAAGTGACAAGACTGAGAAATGACAGTATGATTAGAATACAGATTTGATAGGCATAAAAGACAATGAGAGATCTCATTCAATTTTTTTAAACTCTGGGCAAAGATCTATACCTTGAAGCCTTGCCCATTTAGGCCTACCTGAATCTCCATTCAAATGTTAATCTACCAATGATCCCATATGGAAAAAAAATTAAAGATGCATTATTGAAAATGTTTCAAAGGAGGGGCGCCTGGGTGGCTCAGTCGTTAAGCATCTGCCTTCGGCTCAGGTCATGATCCCAGGGTCCTGGGATCAAGCCCCACATCGGGCTCCCTGCTCCGCGGGAAGCCTGCTTCTCCCTCTCCCACTCCCCCTGCTTGTGCTCTCTCTCACTATGTCTCTCTCTGTCAAATAAATAAATAAAATCTTAAGAAAAAAAAATTAAAAAAAAAAAAGAAAATGTTTCAAAGGATATAAAGATACAGATCTTAAGGATCAGCACAGCATTAGATCTCAAATACACAAACACAAACATAAAGCAAACTTTGAAAATGCTCCATTTATTTAAAGCAAAATATTTTAAGTTCATAATGTACATTCTATTACTTAAAGCCAAGTTTAGATGAATAAAAGTTTTGCTTTGTTTTAATAGTGGTTTAACTACAAATATAAAGCAATCTTAAACTTAATGGAGAAAAACAAAGTAATTCTCAAATCATAATATGCTGCCTATTTTTAAAGAACACAACTGGTTATTTTAAAAAAAACTTTTAAACTTCTATAAAATAATGTAATACCAGTTTCAGATTCTGAAAGGGTACTTGAAATACTATTTCAGAATTCTGAAAGGCTCTATGGTTCAATTAAAGGTGGCCAATTCAGCATATAAATGTATTTCCTCTCACTCATGAATCTCCATTAAAATGCTAGTAAGGGAATCAAAAGGTATGAACCACAAGAAAAAAGAGAACAGAAAAAGGGAGAGTAGTAGACAAGAGATTTCAACAAACGTTTTCAATATGGGAAGCAGATGACTGAGTGAGGATCACTGATTTGGTAATGCAGAGAAAGCCACAAAATAAAGCGCTAGGTGAGAACTATTTTGTGGCTATCCCCGCACATCAACCCAGGAGCTGGGAGGGGAGGAGCGGGGCAGAAAACAAGGGACTCTTTGGAAGTCTTTAATCAAAAGACTCGACACCGTCTTATCCCACATACAAAATATCAACATCCGGGAGCCTGTCTGAGCAGTCCTCACATACACAAATATCCAGGCAAGAGACTGGAGGTTTTATTCCCTAGAGAAACTGAAGGGACTCGGGATTTGGTGGCATCAGTGCAGTGGATAATGAGAAGAAGGCACATACTATTGCACAGTGTGTAAAACAGGGAAGTGCGCTTGGAAGGGGGAGGCCAAGGGATTCAGGGAACAGTGGGTTCCATTTGGGTGAGCAGCAGAGATATCAGAGAGGTCAGTCTGATACGTGGCAGAACTCCACTGTGGAGAAGGATTCTAGAAGCACGATCAGCAACCTTGCCAAAATTCAGAACGCAGATTACAAAATTAAAGAGTAGAGAAACTCAGCCATGCATTTCCAGATACACATCAAAAGCACGGATCTGCTCAGGACAAGGCGGCACTGCTAAAATGAATTGACATGACTACTGCTCTAACTGGATCTATATCACTACTGCCCTGTATAATAACTGGATCGACATTACTACTGTTCTGTACTATAACCAGATCCATATTACTACTGCTCTGTATTACAAGCCTTTTGGTTCTACTTGCTTTTTGTTAACCAGGTGAATGTATTTATTTTGCAAAGGGTTAAAAATGATTAAGTCTACCTGAAATTATATTGAGTGAAAAAATAGGATAACTTCATAAAAAATACTGCCAATCATTTTAAACATACAAGAAAAAAAGATGAAGGAAGTATGTTAAATGTTGAGAGTGGTTCTTTTTATAGTTTCAAGTATTTTCTACAATGATCAGCCATTTAAAATCAGTTAAAAAATCATTTAAAAACCATAACAGAAAAAATATGAAGTATGCAAACAATACAACTTATATGTGTGTCACTGCAGAAAAATCAACAGAATGTTCTGAAAGAAATACAATAATCAAATGCTAATAAAATAATAATGAACACAATAAATATATGTTATTACAGTGAACCAATGAAGGTTTTACTAGTCCTGAGTTTGATAAAAGCAACTATAAAAACAATTGTGAATTTTACCAGAATCAATGATTACCTCACTTTAATAATATCCAATGAAAATTAGAAAAACTACATTCTTCTAGGACTGGCAGTTACAGGGCACCTTCCCGTATGTATTCCTGCATCAGAGGGAACTGTCCAAAACTACTCTCAGGAGACTCTACAGCTTCCCTTGGGTGACTTACTTAGTATTCAACACCATTTCTGATATGGTTTTCTCCCCATAAATGTAAATACCTGGTTCTGTAGTTTATGACATTAGTATTCAATGAGGACATAAAAAAAAAAAAATCACAGCTTACCATTTTTGTCTAATGAAGCCTCACTTACGTTAATTTTCTCTCATACCCTAGCACCTGGCACAGAGCCTCTGTCACAAAATACAGATGAATAAATCAATATTATAATGAAGTCCCTTTTAAGCTTGTTCTTCGGCAAGGCAAAGAATCCCTGTTTCTTGAGTCTTTTATTGTGGAGATGTTTCCTCTTAGTCATTCATAGTCTTCCTGGCTTTTCTTTAATTTCTTAATGTGTCTGAAAAGGACAAGGCCAGAATGGGGCACAACATTCTGCTGAGTCTGTGACCAGTCAGGAACATACTAAAGGAAGGGTTTCATGGTGTCAATGTTACATAAACATTCAGTCATTCCAAGACCACACTGTAAATTTCCACATGTAGAATAATGTTGAAACACTTACCTCAAGAACCAACCACAGCTTGTCTCCATTTATTTTATCCTTCTTAAAGTACATCCCGTAGAATCTGACGACATTGGGGTGGTCGGAAAGCGTCTTTAAGATGCTATACTCTGCTTCAATCTCTTCATCGATATCCTGGTTTCAAAAAGTCATAGGAAGAAAACCATGAGAAAAACATGAATTATGTCAAAGAGACATATTAGAGATCACCAAATAGAGAATTTAATTTTGTCAAAGCAAGGTTATAATAATGGCTTTTAATGTGCTCAATAGTACGTATTGAAACTTCTCAGGCCATTATGTAAGGGGAGAGATTGTAATTTTCCCACTAATCAAATACATCTCTAATTACGTTAATTTCATTGAGTTAAAAAGGGACAAATAAAAGACTATTTTTGTATGCACTTAGAAAGAAACATACATGAAGAAGGATTCCAGAGGATATTCCTTTCTTTGTAGTGTTAACTTTGTTTCAGTGGCAAAGCCATTGATTTGAAATAAAAACTTTTAGCTGGCTCATTTTGTTCCTTTGAAATACAGGATATGTAGAAGGTTTCAAAAGCTAGTCATACAAGCAATAAATTCTTATCTTTCCAAAAAAGTAAAATAAAGTTATACATAAGATGGTATACAGCCTTAGTTAGCTAAAGGCTCATTCACCAGAAGTAGAACAGGTTGCTACATCTGCCAACAAAAACGCCAACAAACTACTTAGTCATGTTTTTAGAAACCACAATACATGAAACAACTCAGAGTAATAATAAGACAAAGCCTTCGAATACTGTTTTTACGGTAACATTTAGTGTCCACGTTGTTTTATGACAAAATCATGTAAATCACAGAGCCAGAAAGAATTCTAGACCAGAGATCCAATTTGAGAAAAAGAAGCTAAAGCTCAGAGAGGCTGGTCACAGAGCTGGTTAGTGTAAGATGCAGGACTAGCCTGCAAATCCACTGCCTCCTCCCTTCTAATCCCATTCATTTTATCCCTTTCTCAGATAGAAACATACTATATCAAAATTCATAATAGTAAGACTCTTTTAATAAAAAAAAGCCACTCTGTAAAATGCTTGGGATGCATTTAAATTTATTTTATTAAGATTATAATCTCTTGGTTATAAATCTTTTTTATTTGGCTTGTGACATGATGAATGAAGGGGGAATAAATAACTCTGAGAAAAACATACATGTACTGACAAGAATAAAGGCAGCAAAAGAACCAATTTCACACCATAGTTATGAAACTGATATATTTCATTAAAGCAATAGAACAAAACATGATTTTTAAGGTTCATAGGATATGAAACAGGAGTAAATTATAAACGAATAATGGCTATATGTATCCATAATCCATTTGTCCTTCTCCATTAAGAAGTAGAGGAATGGGAGAGACACGCTGGTTATGGGGCCAGACATGGGATCCAGCTGGAGCCCTTTCTCTTGCCACCACGAACCCCAACCCATACTTGCAAAGACCAGAGGAGAGAGGTACAGTCACTTTGGTACAGCTTAATTTGTGTCTCTCTGCCTTCAGTTTAAATGGTAAGAACTGGGGTGCCTGGGTGACTCAACTGGCTAAGCATCTGCCTTCAGCTCAGGTCATAATCTCAGGGTCCTGGGATGGAGCCCCACGTCGGGCTTCCTGCTAGTGGGGTGTCTACTTCTCCCTCTGCCCCGCCCCCCACCCTCAATCCCCATTCGTGCTCGCTCTCTCTCTCTCAAATAAACAATTAAAATCTTTTTCAAAAACGGTAAGAACTTTCCATTAGGGGATAATCCCAATAGGGGATTATGAAAACAGTCAGCATCAGTTAAGCCTGCACATAGTTGTCTCTCTCTCTCTTTTTTCCTTCCAATGTATCTAATATATTGCTTGAAAATAAACCCCCACTCTCCCTCTCCTCTGCTCAAAGTAATATGAAACGCTGTAGTTAATAATGGGTTTAGTAGAAATAAACAATCAAAAAAGAAAGCATAAGAAAAAGAAATCCTAAGATGCACAAACGGAGACCGGGAGACCTTTTGCAGAGTCCTACAGTTTGTTAATGTAAGAGCTATGACAAGGACCAGGAGTCCCACGTCCTTCCCAAACACATCACGACATCTCTGTCATGTCCCATCCCATTATGTGTGCAAGAGCCAAGTAACTGGAGAAACTGCTCTCAATAGAACTTTGGGGATTATGTGATCACTGAGCTCATTCTGGTTCACCCACGTGCTGTGGGAGAGCTACACATATTTCCCAAGAGCTGAAAATGTTCCAAAACAGCCAGTTCTCATTCCCAGAAAAAAAAAGGGGGGAGGGAGGAACCTCATCAACTTCTTTATGCTCTTCAAGGCCAAAAAAAAAAAGCCTAGAAGGTTCCCTTATCACAACTGCTATTCCAAAAAAAGCAAAAGAGGATCCCCACTAGGGCATCAGTTGAAGAGGCCATAAGGACTACACATGCAATTTCAATTCTTCACAAGGAAACTCACCCTGATTATAAGTGAATACCATTTCTGCTTTGGAAACATTTCAGCAAACCTGAAAATTAATTTCCCATCTCTGAAAGAAATATAATTTAACATAAAATATTTCTGGGTTAGCTTAAAAGACATTCTTCCTGAAGCCTAAATAAATGCAGGAAGAAAAAGAGATCTGGCCAAGATGACATTTGAGAATTACTTCTAGACCCCTGAGTCTGTGTTCTTACAATTTTTTGAAATTTAAAATAACATAAAATCAACTGTTGAGCTATTAAGAGCTGTATTTATTTATTTACTTATTTGTATTATGTATTTGTTCAATTATTAAATATTTATTGGTCCCTATTGTATATGTTAAGTATGTAAACAACAAAAACCTAACAAATAGACTTTTTTTTTACATTTTCAATTGACACTGTGACAAATAAATCAAGTTAGCTACAGACTTTTTAACTGTTTAGTACAAATAAAAACAAAGTTAATTAGCAGAAAAGAGGAAAAACAATGTGACATACATGAATTGGGTCCAGAATTTTCACTGCTGCTTTTTGGCCATTTTTCTTATTCAATACTTTAAAAACTTTCCCGTAAGTTCCTTTGCCAATCGTTTCGGTGATTTCCCACGTATCAGAAGGATCAGGAAAGTTATCAAAGATGATTGTTTTTCCAGTTAATGGAAGCATCTCACAAGTTTCAATCACTGGAGAGAAAAAGTACAGTTTCAGCTACATTTGATTGGGGATATTAAATGGCACGAACAAACTCATGGGAAATTATCTAACATTTCACTGATACGATGGAAAATATACAGCAGTAACCAAATGTACTCAGAATTATAGAAAATTTTAATTTCAATTCTTTTTGCAAAGAGATTAATATGAGTTCAATAATGCTTTGTAAACAGGGCTTTATTTCTATGTTTAATATAGTCCCATATTAATTGCTCTTCATTCTTTTCATATTAAAATAAGAGGCACATATTTAAATCACTTTGATATATTGTTTTATACTCAGATATTAACACAATGCATCAAAAAAATTTAAATTAACCTTAAAGATGATAAAACTCAATGTCGTCAAGGCAAATCCCACATTTTGAAGTGACTGTGTCTTATTATCACTCCTCTATGTAAAACCCAATAATGGGTCTCCTCATATTGCTTTTAGGATGAAATTTAACACAACCTACCAGGTCCTTTAAAGTATGGCCCTTGCTTAATGTCCTCACCTCATGTCTCAACTTTTCTTCTCTCAGACATTACAAACCAGTCACTTGGGACCCTTTAAAGTCATTTCTTTCTTGCTTAAGGGTCTTAGTAGACATGAATCCCTCCCACTTTCTGCCTGTGGTTTCTTTCTATTTATTTATTTATTTATTTATTTATTTATTTATTTATTTATTTATTTATTATGTTATGTTATGTTATGTTAATCACCATACATTACATCATTAGTTTTTGATGTAGTGTTCCATGATTCATTGTTTGCATATTAACACCCAGTGCTCCATTCAATACGTGCCCTCTTTAATACCCATCACCAGGCTAACCCCTGCCCCCCCTTCCCCTCTAGAACCCTCAGTTTGTTTCTCAGAGTCCATAGTCTCTCATGGTTTGTCTCCCCCTCCAATTTGCACCTTCATTTTTCCCTTCCTACTATCTTCTCTTTTTTTAACATATAATGTATTATTTGTTTCAGAGGTACAGTGGTTTCTTTATTGAATTCCAACACCTTCTTCTCTTTCAGATCTTAGCTTAGATGTCATTTCCTCTGAATGTGACCGCTCTCCATCCCATTTGGCTTGCAAGCCCCACCCTTGTACTTGCAGAGCACTCTACCCACGCTTATCGGATCTTACGACATGCCCAACACCTGGCACAGTGCTGAAACAATTAGGAGAGTACAGCCAATGAGGTCAGGTGACTTTTAAAAGGAGATGTTATATGTAACCTGAAATAAGATCCCAGGTTTCCTGACTGCCCAGTAGTGTTTTTAACCTTCTATATTCTTCCTATATACATTCAACCATTTGTATAAAACCACACAAAAGTAACAGAAAGAGCTCCCAGAACTTCTGGTGGCCCTTACATTTTTTCAATTATCTGTGCAAAACCTCACAATCTTCAATGTTAAAAAGTCACGTGCAGTTGTGCTTGTGTGTATATGCATACACACAGAAACACATCTATTAATAAATATTAATGCTATACAATAATGTTAGCCCATGAAATTCATTGGTCTAACCACAATTTTCAATCTTAGCCACACCACCAATCCACTGAGTCCTCACTTTCTTTATAGCCATCAACCCTGTTCAGTCTTCATTCCTTCTTCACTTGCTTCTTCCCCAGCATAAATTCTACAGCTTGAATCATTATGACTTCCTTGCAAATACCCTCAACACTCTTGTTCCTCTTTCTCCACCATCAGTCTCCCAGAATGAAAAAACCAAGTCTGGTTAAAGACCCTACATGTCTTCACACCTGTGCCTGTAGCTAGAGAAAAACCACACAACCATATTGACTGGTTTCACTTCACATTCAGAATAACAAACCTACAAGTAGACCTTCGACACTGCCTAGAAGTCCTACTGTGCTTCCCTGGTTTGTCTATTCCTTTCTCATTATTTCACAGTGATCCTTCTCCTCACATTTTTCTTGTCCTCAAATTGTTCTTCTTTGTTCTCTAGCCCCTCCTACAAAATTTCCCAACTGATGCCCTTACTTAATAATTAATTGAAAACATAAAAGCAACAATAAATGCCTTAAAACTACAAACTTCTCATCCTGAAAACTACAAACGAATGAGCATCAAACGTGAGGTCTTTCTCATTACCTATCATCGGTTTTTGCTGTTTGGCCTCAATTAGTCTGTTTCTTCAGTTGCTTCTAAGCCTTCAGATCTTGGCTCAAACATCACTCTTTTAGAAGGGCCTTTCTTGACCAACCTACATAAAGTTAGCTTTTCCCACACATTTTATTTCTCCTTTAGAACGTAAGCTACAAAAGAGTATAGACTTTATTTTTACTACTGTATCTGCAATTCCCAGAACAATGCCTAGTACATGGTAGGCAATTAGTAAATCTGGCAAAATGGGCAAATGTTTACCTGTTATCTGACAACACAGACCTTAGCTATCTTGTTCACACCCAAATCTAATAATGCCTAACTCTGTGCCTGGCATATAGTAGATGTTAAATATACAGCTGATGAATAAATTAATCAGTATGATTCTTCAAAAGAAGTTTTTAAATGAGGGAGAAAAATAAGGATTAGGGAGAGCTGAAAAGAATCTGAAAATCTAAACAAAATAAGGAACATGTTCTGATTCATTATACTGAAGGGCACATCATCTCATAAATGGCTATGAATGCCTGCTAAAAATTACATCACTACACAAAACACACTTATGAATGGTTCTTAGAACACTTAATCTTTATGAAATTTGTGCCTATGATCCAAAATGCAATGGAATAAGTAGGAGGTAATCAGTAATAATCATCCACTTTAGTGATTTCACAATCAGTGACAAGATAACTACTTCTTACATCTATGTACTTGAGTTATGCAAATAAGCATTTATGCCATCCACATAATGTAAAAGTTAGACCAAAAGACCAAATTAAATCTTGTTAAATGCCTGAAATAAGCGTTTTTAACCACAAGAAACATTCATTATATGCAATACTGCTTTTCAAGTGGTAATGTTGTTGAACACAATTTTAATTTCTTCTACATTAATTATTAGGAACTATTGGTATTTAAATATACAGGCATAAGAATGACTGAACACCTAATGTGTGCAGAGTATTTTAGACTCTTGGGGATACAAAGATAGGCAACTCATGGATAGATATATGTAAGTAATATTATGAAAAGTGACAGATAATAGAAACAAGCATAAAGTGCTATAGTAGCCCAGATGAAGAAGCAATTAATTCTGAAGTGATCATGAAAAGATACAGAAAATAAGCAGTATTGGAGCTGGACATTAAACATGAAAAGAAGTTTGTCCAAAACATAATTTCCTCTTTAACAATTCTCAGTAAAACAAATATTTAAAGCAGTGCATTGTTATATCATAAAACACAAAACAATAATCACAGAATAACAAAAGCACAGGTGTTTTGGAAACAGAATATACTTAGTGCAATCTCATTCAAAACAAACAAAACTCCCAACAAGTAGGTAAGATGAGGTCTAAAATGATTTCCTCAAAATTAAGCATTAAAGAATTCAAAACCTTAGAAGTCTTCTTAACCTTAAGCTATACTTTTTCCAGTACTGATAGATTATTATTTAAGAATAAAATAAAATGTCAGTTAGTAAACAACTAATTATTTAATGATTACAGTAGGTTGTATGGCATGAATGCTCATTTTTTTTCTAGTCCTTTAGCACTCACAGAATAAAAAATAATTTTCAGGGCGCCTGGGTGGCTCAGTCGTTAAGCGTCTGCCTTCGGCTCAGGTCATGATCCCAGGGTCCTGGGATCGAGTCCCACATCGGGCTCCCTCCTTGGGGGGAAGCCTGCTTCTCCCTCTCCCACTCCCACTGCTTGTGTTCCCGCTCTCGCTATCTCTGTCTCTGTCAAATAAATAAATAAAATCTTTAAAAAATAATAATAATAATTCTCTAGCTCATAAAATGAAAACTAACTTCTTAATTATATGATCATTTATGCTAAATAACTTTTTGGCATATATACTTACTATATTTTAACATGTGTATTTACCATAATTCCAAAAAGGTACTTCCATTTTAAAAGCTACATTTTAAAAATGAAGAATCATCTTTTTGAATTGATATATTATATATTGAGCTGCTGAGGGTTTTTTGGTTTTTTTTCATGATAGAAAAAAGACCATATTACAATGAAAAAAGTATCTTACTTCAGGATTTTATCATTCATCTCAACACTTATTTGACTGCTTTTGTAAACCTCCCCTTCATTCTTCTTTACTAAAATAACCAAACTGCCTTCATGCTCATTCTAAAACACAGCAGGGCTGATCTCCTGATGGGCTGTGTCTTCCCTCTGCCTGGAATGCTCTTTCTCCAGATATCCATATTGGTCTACTCCCTCACTTCCTTTAATTCTTGCATCAGCCATCACCTCCTCAATAAGTCCTATCCTAGCCATCCTGTTTAAAATGCCACCCTGCCCTCCTCCACTCTATCCTACCTCCAACCTCCTGGTCCCCCTTTCCCTGCTCTATTTTCATAACACTCTTTACCTCCTTTCATGCTACATCACTTCCTGTTTATTATGTTTTACTTATTGTGTTTCTGTACTACTAGAATGTAAGCCCATGAGCATTGAAATTTTAGGTTGTTCACGGATATATCCCAAAGACTCTAAAACCATGACTAGCACAGAGGAAGTACTCAACAAGGATTTGTTGAATACTGGATAGAAATGAATAGAACACAGTAGCTAGAAAAATTTCAGGTGATTTTACCAATGAATTCAATAAAATATTTAAGAAAGAAAGAAAGAATGTCATCTTTGCAATCTTTTTTCAGAGACTAGAGACAGAGGGAACACTTGAAAGTACCTACACAGAGACAGAAATTATTAAAAAAAAAGAGCCAAACGGAAATTCTGGATATGAAAATTAAAATAATTGAATTGAAAAATTCCCTAGAGGGGTTTAATAACAGAGTTGAATGGGCAGAAGAAAAC